ATCTCTTGCTGTCCGGCGCGTCTTCAGCGTGCCTCCCGCGCGATCTGCTACGATATGACCTATCGATCCTCTTCCAATCTCCCCACATAATAGGTATTCCCAATTCTACATCGCATCACGTCCTACCGACCGCTAAATTATTCTGACATTCAGTGATGGTGATCGTTTACAGGCATCACTTTAGCTACATGCATACATTAAATGTAGGCCCTTTATCAGGGCAATCCCAGTTGGGAAGACAGAGAAAATTTAAAGGAATTTTCGTCCTCCTAACCTCTTCGGGGAAAATAGCATACGGCACTCGTCAAAATGGGCAGCCAGTGTTTAGCTAATGCATTCAAGGAGCAACACAATGTTCAGCGGTGGAACCTAACGCTCCATCCGGCTGCCCAGTTTTACAAAAGTCTTCCGTGTCATGCGCGCGGTAGTGTGCGGAGCTAAACCGGTAATAAATAAACAGTGGTTCTGTGGGATATTTGCTTAGTCACTAGTTTGCGTGGAAAGGAAGGACCTACCTCAACGCCTGCAGTATGCATATGTATACTCTGCGATCATGAGGAATTCCTTTCCGGGCGGCGTTTGCTTGGAAAAACTACTTGAAAAAGGAGTTAGAATATTGAAGGGGTCTTTAGCGACTACAGCACCACTAATGAAAGGGGCAATTTCCGCTGGGATCCGTGACATTGAGGTGATCGTTGATCGACCTTCTGACACCATATTAATTTTCAGAGTAAAAATCAAAAGAATAGCGAGAAGGGACAACAGTGCTCTTATGAGCGTGTTCTTGAAACTTCCTGAAAGTAAGGTTTGCTACCAATCGTAAGAATTAGATTATGTAGTTTGGTGCATAAGCCTTGCACCACACACCGATTCTTTCGAAATAATTGTTTCATAACAAACATCGCTTCATACATTACTGTATACTATTCTTCTGTGCATAATAGATTAGTGTGCGCAATAGCCGTCACCATAGTAGCCATAATAGCAACTCGAAGTGTTAGGATGATTATCAAATTCAGCTGCCTGCAGTAAGAGCAGTTCTTGTCATGATGTGGGCTCAACAAAAAATACAGTGCTTTCAGTAATGATCTCTCGTAGAAATGCTATGGAGCAGAAGCGACGCTAGGATGAGCCACATGTGGAGGATTCGCCGAAAACGTCATCACATCAACAGCACCAATCGCGTGTAGCGAACGCTGACGTACCATCGCTGCGACCGGACGGAGCAGCAGGCCCGGTTGTGCTGCCGAGTGCCGGAGGTACTCCAAGCCAGGCGGCTTCCTTGTGTCGCTCGTCGCGACATCCCTCCCGGAGAAGGCCAAGAGCGTCGACTGGCAGAGGCTTCTCGACTAATACGTTGACGACCGCGCTTGTTTTCGCTGTCTGGCGTGTGGGACCGCGCGCATTTTTTGACCGCGCGAATGTGACATGACATCATGTCACACGGTCCCACGAGAACTCCTTTTTCTTTGGGAAGTGTTCATTTGTTATCCTTTCTTGTGTGGCAAGTGTTAGCTTTTGCGATTTCGGCGATTCTTGCGATTTGAGAGTGTCTAAAAGGGGCTAAAGCTAACATGTGAACAGGAGGGGACCCTCCTAAAACTACCTTCCGGTCACTGTACGTCGAGCTTCTGAAACGATTGTTGGATTGCAATCAAAACTGCATATCCAGCACCTCTCACAGATTCAAAAATTTGTGGGAAGGAGGCAAGAAGGTAAAGTAGAACGTTACAGACGATGCAGAAACGGCTACAAATGTGCAAGATCAAAAGAGCTACTTTGTCTCCCACCAAAAGTGTACACCCATTGCAACAAATTATTGTTACAAGCATCATTTTTGTACCGACTGGTTTCATTCCAAACACAAGGAGTATCGCTACTGATCATTATTCATGTTTTTTTCAAACACTACGAATCATTAACCAGGATTTCTTTTCAAGTACCACGCCTTTTCTAAACAATAACTGAGCATGGCGTACACATCGGCACCGAAGGCGGAACATGCCCCTATGCCGGAGCATGCCGGGATATCGCGTTCAACAAATGCGGCAGAGCCCAAGCGCGTGGTGCGCTAGGATCACAGTCGCAGACTTGTCACAGTTCATGTTCGACAGGCCACAAAAGGCCGTTCTACTAGACAGGATGAGTGTCCAAAAAAGGAATTGCTGACCTCACGTTTGGCCTCATCCTTATTGAGGTTCTGATAGCACGTCAATGTTCCCGTGCTTTCTGAAAAAGTGCGGAAGGTGAGCTAGTGCATTGTTTAGACTTAAATAGGCTTTCAATCTCGACATAGGTGCGACTGTGTCGCATTATTCGCTACGCCCTATCGTATGACTCTTTCCTCTTCTTCTGAGCAGGAACTCTCTTCAACTTCAGTTGAGGCATTAGTGACCAGATTACAATGCTTCTGCTTAGATTCCTCGAAACATTTTGATAACGCCGTGACCCTTCTAAGTGTTGCAAAGCTTATGCACCAATACAAATAAATGGGCCGCATGGATGGCATTGGAGTATGGCATTATTCTCTTCTTTCTCTCAGAACTCACGAGAGGCTCACTGGACACCAGCAGGTGGAAGATCGATGACTCCTTAAAACCAACAGGTGTTCAAGAAAAAATAATAGGTGAGCATTTCAATCAAGGACACTGTCGTATTCGCCAATGAGGCCCAGCTATATGTACGTTAAAGGCAAAGGTCGGGCTCAGACACGCTAGAGAAGTAATTCCCGTGCCTGGAGGTTGTATGTGGGTAGCTGCACACATTGCAGCAACTTCCCACCTTGAAAAACGTCGTTAAGCCCCCGGGGCGTTCGGTTTCAATCCGGGGCCGCCTGTCAATCCAGGACCGCCCACCTCCGGAAGTGGTGCGTGGCTGGCATAACGTGTGAAATCAGCTAGGTTGATTGCCGTATCAACCGATAGAACGACTGACATCTCCAGAAAACTTGTTTGTACGTGCCTCTTTCCCCAAGCCAGCCTCCTTCACTGCTAGTGGGAAAGAGGGTTTTGTTAACGGCCTTGTCGACGGTTTTTCTCAGTTTTTTCTCCACTGTCGTTCCACTTCGCATCTCTATACTCAGTTTCAATCGCCATAATACCCCCTTATTGAGCCCGACTTTTGCCTTTAATAAACAATAAATCAATAAACAACGTCCAAGAAGTTGCGTAAAGGACCCTTGAATCCTCATAGCTCCTCTTCGTCATGACTCCACATTCAAATGGAATGTGAGCTAAAATTTTGATGAAATGATGCCTTAAAATTAGTACCAGCGCCTTATATTAGGATGGTAAGAAAGTCCTGAGCCGTTTGACATTTTTTTGCTTTACTTTTTTATTCCGCGTACAATGGAATCTACTCAACAATATAATCACCATTGTTACTCACTACAGAGTCCCACCTAATGGGCAGGTCAGCGACCCCTTCTCCCAGAACTGAGCAGACTGAGAGTCAAAGAAATCGCTGACCGCTCTTTCAACGTCTTCAACTTTGGTGAATTTTTTCTTCGCTAGGAATGCCTTAAGGGGATGAAATAAGTGATAATCAGAGAGGGCAATGTCAGGGGAATAGGGTGGGTGGGGAACCGCGTCCCAGATCAGCTCTTCCAATTTTGCACGGGTCTCTTTAGCTATGTGGGGCCTGGCGTCATCGTGGAGTAGGTGGACAGAAGTTCGTCTCGGTCGTTTTTCTCGAACAGCGTCCGCTAGTTTCTGGAGCTGACTGGCGTAAATGCTGCCGGTAGCGGTATGTCCTTGCGGGAGCAGCTCATAATACAACATTCCTCGCGAATCCCAGAGGCAGCAAAGAAGACAGTTTTGGGGTGAAGGTCCGATTTCTCTTGCGTCGTTGGTCTCCAGGGTCAACCGTCCGTTGGACAAAGTCCAACGCATGGCTCTCTAGCGTGTGAGAGTAATGCCGAGAGTGAACGTACGCACGGAGACACAGACGGCTCGCGCAAGGCGAGTGCGAATGCCGGCGCGGAGAGCGGTCAACGTCGGTCCAACGTCGGTCCAATGTCGGTCCAACGTAACGGTTGACCCTGGCAGTCTCCTCCCTTCGGAGGGAGGCACATCGCGCGCGGTGCATATTAGTAATCGTAACCGGATTTGCCTCCGGCCACTACCCGCGCGCATTGATTGGGTAGGGGGAATCCATGGAATTGGTCAGCATGATTATTCTTCATTACCCACCTCCTAAATAAATGTGTTTATAAGCCTACGTTAGCACCGCCTCCAGCTCCGACGACAATGGCATCGAACATGATCTTTTCTCTCCTTTCTCCTCTCTCCCCTTTCCGCCCTCTCGTCCCCCCGCTCCCTACTGTTTTCCCCCCTAATCCACTGCCTCTCGACCCGGCTGCCCTGGAGCAGCCGCACTGTAGACATGGAGGTTTGCTCGGTGTTTCTGTAGCCATTGTGGGTGTTAACCATAACCACGACATCAGTTCGAATAATACGTCAGCATGAATTTGGACCTCTCACAAACGGTCATTCTCTTTCAGTCTCTCCTCCCCCACCTCCCCCTTCCTTATAGCCTCTTCTCCGGGACATAGCAGGACCATGTTCTCCCTGTCTTTCTACCCTCTCCCTTCCCTCCCTCCTTCTCTCTCCCACCTCCGCCTGAGAGAGCAGATCCGGAAAAATTCATTCCGAAGGTGATTGTCAACTCGCAACTACAGTAACTTCTTCCACGTTATTGATAGGGTATCAATTGAATTCTACAACATGAAGCTCCTGTGCGGAACTCAAGGCATCATTCCATTGAAACTTGATATAATTCGGTGCCACTGTGTTAACATTATTAGATGAGAGTTTGGGTCCGACTCCGATACCCAATCTATCAGTTACCCGTCTAACATGAAACTTGGTAGCAGTGGACCACTGTTAGAAATTTTGCATTCTAAAATCAGTTTTTTGTTTCGCTGAAAAAACGATATTCAGATGAAATGTTTGCCAGTGGATCGCTCCCTATCAGCAATGAATCAGTCGCTGAAGTGTTGAAGATAGGACTTGGTACAGGATCCCTCGAAACCTACTTACATCACAAATTCCCGCAGGTATTGCTGTTTTCACAATAAATAAAGAGAAGCGCAGGGACAAAAAAACTGCTCCCACTCTTGTGATCAGTTTATCAAACCCAAGATCGACCATCCATGAACAACATTGGCCTTCTGTTCAGTGTTGCAATGCAAGCCAAGTCGCTTGGTTGCAGACCGGTCTTATCCCTTGGGAGTTTTCCAAAATTTTTTACGACAGCCTCTCCTCCACGATAAGCTTCATTCTTTCCCCTCCGAAAAATGTCCGTCGAACGGGAACGAGGGGAGGGGGGGGGGGGCAAATTCTCGAGCCGCGCGCTTTCACCTCATTTCGCAAGTGTCGTGTTCATGATTAACCGAAACCAAGTACGACCCCCCCCCCCCACCCTGCAAACTTCAAACAAACTACGACCCCCCTAGTTGTTACTTGTAGCAATGTAGGGTTGACCCTGCTTGGTTCCTGCGTACAGTCCTGCGTCTCATATCAAAGGACATTATCGACGTTCAACCCTCCACACTCAGCTATACCAAATTCAAAATTGGAGAATACTTCCCGAAATCGGGTTGGTGCGTTGAAGTGCGGAGAGTAGAGACAAAGAAAGAGAAAAGAAGGAAGAGAGATAGTTGGTGTCACACGGCATTCTATCTCTAACACGCGGCGCTTTGGTATCACACCGTATTAAAGGAGGATTACGGTGAAGAACGATGTTGAAGAAGAAGGAAGTTGCCTAGTGGGGAGACAGGATGTCCTCCTGTGAGAGTGCGGACTGGCACGCAATTGGCACCGAAAGATTTGAACTAGGCGACCTAGCATGCCTCAATCTTGGCCCGGTCGGCGGGGTCCGCCCACCATCACTCGCCACAGGTCTATACGCGGCCAGTGATTAGATAGCAGAGAGAGCATTAGCGTTGAAGAGGGCACAGCGATGAGAGTCGCATCAATGCTCAAATCAACGGGCAAGGAAGGGGTCCCATTTCTCGGGTTCTGGGCCGTTTCTCATGGTTTTTCCTTCTTTCGTGTACCACTCACCATGCTAACTTAGTTGGGGGGGGGGGGGGGGGCCACGCGGCGGCGCGGCAGTCTGCTCACCTGGGCTCTCTCGAGCGAGACAGTGTAAACTCGAACATTCCAGCTTTTCACGCATGTCAAGTGACTGCCCCCCCCCCCCCCCCTAGACTGCCTACACTCCCCCTGGCCCACGGATTTCCGAACATGCCAGGCGAGCAGACTGCCGCGCCGCCGCGTGGCCCCCCCAACTAAGTTAGCACCCATTCCGACATCGAGAGTTAATGTCATACGTGGTTTGCTTGCTTTTCCACAGTGAATTCCCCGCGCCACCCCAACATAAAAACCCTTTCGGCCTAGGTGGGAGGTAAACCCATTGATTGTGCAAGTTACAGGAACCAGTTCTATTCTTCATGGAAATTCTAGTAATTTACTTTAAAAGCAAAAACCAATACAGAAGTAGACTAGCAATTTTAATTTTTCTTTAATCTGAAATTTAGATGACCATAACAATCGTTGAAATGAGTCGACCAACAGTGGAAATGGCGAAGAAGTGGTTTTATTTGGAAATTGACGAGCGACTACAAGTGGTCAACGAACAAAGCGAAAAGTACTTGAGGCGGAGCTTTCGGAAAGGTTGCACTATGACATTTTCTATCTTGCAGATGGTTATTAATTACCTTTTCTTAGCTTTACTACGCTCGAAGCATACAGCCTCCAGATTGCATCGACGTGGAACAGCGTATTTTGCGTGTAAGATCACAGTCGCCGACGCGGAATAGCAGCTGCTTACCTTGTTGGCGGCCGAAGGCAACGCCACCCGGGAACGAGCCCTACTAGTAGCGAAGGAGACTACCGAGATTGCTTTTGTGCGCGTGCTGTTACTATTCATGAGATCCATAGTCAGCTTCGTTCTGTTCACAATTTCGGCGACTCCGGGCACTAATCCCAAACAACGAGTGCAACGATCGACCCTCGTTGCAACTCTTCCCACCCACAGCAAGTGATACAGAGATCACGGTGCTCTCCAGTCGGTGTACTCTCTCGCGTGTTTTGTGTTCTTTGATCGTCCTGTCTCGCCATCGTACCACATCCGACGTTACAATAGGTTCAGGCCTCAATTTCAGCGTTTTCAATGGTTCCTTGTGTTCTCCTTTCCGCATTTATTTCATTCCGCAGTTCAGTCATCAGGGTGCAAGTCACAATGCGCTCTTATACCCACCAGTTTTATCCGCTGGGCGCTTTCAAAAGAGTATAGCGACAATGGCACCGTAGTACCTTACAAAGTGAAGCTGGTGATAGTAATGTGAGATATGTGACGAGAAGTACCTCGCGTCACCCAAGTGCACGCGTGATTACGGGCGTTCGGTAGCCTTTGTAGTAATTGAGTGGCGTAATTTCCTCACCAATCGATTTAGTGATGTGCGCCAAACTTGCTGTGCCCATGGCACGGCGTGTTTCCATCCTGTAGCCATCCACAATCCAGCGGTCCCTACTCAAAGGCTTGTTTCGTTTCAAAGCCTAAAGCAACACCCCGGAGTCCTAGAACTTCACATTATATGTTGTTGGCAAAAAAGTGGAAATTTGGATGGGGACAATCAGATTTCGAAGAGATGGAAATTAAAAACTCTTGAAGTTAATGTGTAAATGGAATTTTGGCAATTAAAACCCCTCCCTGCGTCTGAAGACCGTAAAAGGGCAAGAAAGTCTTGCTTGGTGATTTGCGTCTAGCCTAATCATGGAAAACCCCTGTTAACATGCTTTTGGGCTGAAGGCCACATTCCAAAAATTTCGTAGTCTCGTCGTCTACTCCACTAGTGGGGTGAACGCCTTTTGGAAGGCATCATTTGCGATTCAGTGGCAGTTTGCACAAAAAACGATGTCCTGTTCTGTGTAGAGCCTTATCGTGAGCATGGCATCACTTTAGACAGACTCACTTTGCAACACTGATTTGGGCTGTCAGATCCACCAGGATCAGTTAACGACACGCACAGTATATGTAGTAGGGCTTAGAATGAAGCATATTCAGAGCCCAGGTTGGAGAGCTAGTCTATATGGGGACGCTGTGGATGCTATATAAACAGTATAGTATAGTTTTCCCTCCGGTTTCCTTGGATTCCTGACATTAATCCAAAATGCCTCGAGCGCGGCAAATTGAGTCTCATGCGCCAGAACTTCTACAATAACAGCCCAAAATCGCTCCGCTTGCTTCTGACCGCTCGTAAATCATCCCTTGAGATGTCTACTCATGAGCAGAAGCAGGACCTAATTCAGCTACCAATACGGTCTGTCCAGAATTATGCGGTCATTGATCAGTGCTGCTCAATGGGCCAAGGAGGCCGTCTCTTTTCTGTTGCTCTGTCTGAATCTTGCTACGTCAATCCCTTCTAGGTAGCAATGACAGGTTGGACAAGCAGGAGGAGCAGCTAGCTGTGACTATACAAGACTCGCTTTTGAACGCAGCTTTTCCAGATTAAACTGACCTACGGTCCATAAGACCAAGTTGAGCTCGAACCGCAGCAACAGCCGTTCAATGGGCAATTCTTTCTCCTGATAACCGTCGTTGGGCTATTGACGTTTGCTGATGAGCTGGGATGTGCTCTTCAATTTCCAGTTGGGGCCGTTCGCTTTGAACATACTTAGCAAAATGTAATTATTGCGTTCAAAGCAATACACTGCGTTTCATAAATATAGGTCCACCCTAAATTTTTGCTATTCAAACTCGCTGAGCATTTTCGGAAAATGCAGCTATCACCAATAAATTTCTCATAACGAAAGATTATGTTTTTCTGAAGAAATTCCCCCCTTAAGTAACCTAGATAACTTTTCCGGATCGAATTTTCACAGTTTTATGATTGTAGGGCCACTCATGAAAAGTTCCCATTTCTCATCATCCGTGAAGAGAATCAGGAAAGTAGGCATATACACTTGCTAAGCCAACATCAAGTAACATCATACCGAGAATTTGCGGTGTTCTCTTCGTTAAGACAATTTCTCGACAAGTGATGTGTACTCATATAAAGAGGATATCTGAATAACTCTGAATCAGAATTTCTTCAGAAAATTAGTACCAGGGTTTTTTATCATGAGGAATCTAATGGTTATAGCAGGGTTTTCCGAAAATGCACAGCAATTCTGGAATAGCAAAATTTAGGGTGGACCTATATTTATGAAACGCAGTGTAGTCCCAGCAGGGTGGGCGTGGTCGGAAACGGCTGCAATCCCCTCGGCCGATTCCCACTTCGGAGCTGTTCAGCCCCTAGTCAAGAACGTAAGAAGTGTGACTGAACAAAAACTCACCTTGGAAAGCCGCTAGGCAGGGAGCTGAAGTGGGCGTGGTCGGAATCGGCCGAGGGAATTGCAGCACCGAGATACGGCGCGACAGTCGCTGACTGTTGCTTTAAGAGTGGGGAGAGTGACATTTTTGTTGGGTGCCCTTCCTCCCCCTTCCCAGTGTACAATTCAGAAGTGATATCATACTATAGCATAGCCAACACAATAAGCGAGGGTGTTTATATGAAAGCGAGGGATTTATATGGATGAAGAAGGATACTTGCACCTGTACAGGTCGCTCGCATTTCATCTGTGAGCACTAGCAACAAATCATTCGCTCTTCACCCACCTGTTTAGTCAGCGCATTAAGTTAGGATTTTGGAATGGGCTAAGTTCACGGTGATTCCTGTTCGCGCGGTTATGTTTCAATTTGAGGAATCCAATTCGATGTTATTATCATTGACACTTCTTTGGCTGGAATGCACGACAACCTTCACTCTCCGAGTTCGAACCTTCTCAATAAAGTGACCATACAAGACATGGCAGAATTGCTTGGCAAGAAAGGTAAGCTTGAAGCTTCACGCGAGTTCCGATTCATGTTTATAAACTTTGAGCTTATGCTTTTACTCATTATCACTTTCGTTGACTGTAATGAGATCACCAGGTGCACGTTTAGCTATCAAAAAATGTGGCTCTTACTGTGCCCGAATATGAATATATTTATTGTGCTTTGAGTCAAGTGAAAGTAAAAGAAGAGCCAATTTAAATCGTTGGTTAAACCGGTCTAGCTAGAGAAGGTCAGTGCGGTCCGACATGAGGTGTACACCCTTGCATTCGCTCTGAAGGTACGCTCACCTATTCCATCCCCGAGACAGGCGAACAGGCGTTGATGTGGTGCCCCTTTTGTGGCTTGAAAATGCGCGGCATTGCGCCAGAAGCTCCCTCGCCTAGCAAACGATTTTCGTCCGCAAGCTCCGCCTTCCGCCCGCAAGCTCCGCCTTCCGCTGTCGGCTGCCAGGCTGCCACGTGACGCTGCGAGAAAAGCGCGGGCGCAGTTGCGGCAGCGGTTGCATTGCGGTTCAATGTCATTGGCACTGGAGCAACTGGAGCTGGGTTCGTGAAACTCGTCCAACACGCCCTTCTCTATCCCAAGGTGGAATGCGGCTGAAATAGAGGAGCCTCATCGGGCATAATCGGAGGTTTCTCTTGCTGCGTTTCTCTTTTCCAGATCACTCCCCACCTCCATCTCCAGTACTGCACGCTCTTCCACACCCATTTTATCTCGGGGATTGCGTTTGAGGCGATGAGCTCTGAAGTTGTCTCCATATCTGGAAGCAATTCTCCAAATGAAATTGTAAACCGGAAAAGGCTGTCCTGTCTGGCAAGAAGGTGGTCGCTGGGTTGAGTTCTCTGTTTAATTGTTGCCCCTTTGCTTTTTTTCAGTAACTGCAATGGAGCTGAAGGTGAAGAGTTGTCCGAAAGGAAAGCAAAGCAAAAAGAATCCCTGATTACGTCGTTGGGACTAGGTCCCCTCTCTTCCAGCCGCATTCTACCTGGGATAGAGAAGGGACGTAATCGGACATTTCCGTGAACGGCTAACCCCAGGTGCTTAAAGGCAAGATTCAGGATTAAATTTATTCTCCCCGTCTTCTTCAGCTCATTCACATAGGCATAGAGAGGCGCATTCGGAACATTTCCGTGGAAGCTAACCTCAGTGTGCTTAAAGCAAGATCGATAAATTATGGTTAAGTCCCCCTTAAATGTGAAAGTAGGGATGGAGGAGCCGTCAGCGAGAAAAAAGAAAGAAAATCCAAACGACACAGGCAACAGCATTATCTCCCATGCTGTGTCAGAAGTCACAAGACAGACAGGTGCTGAGATAATGTGAGCGCGGAGAGTGTAGAGAAGTCCGAGAAGAGAGAGCATAGCAGATCAACGTGGCGACGCAGACAAGATATCGAACGGTGGGCGGACCATGTTAAGTTTGGTGGAGTCTGTTAGAAGTCCATGGCGCCTAGGGTCCTAGTGACGCGTTTCGATGTAGAAAGGTGGCGCTACCTTTGCACTTGCGTACCCAGCACTTCTAGCCATGGTAAGGGCTTCTTAGGTGGGTCTGAGCCCGAACTTTGCCTTTAAGTCAGTGACATTGCCGCTGCCACAACTGCGGCGCGCTTTTCTCGCAGCACCAGCGTGGCAGGCAACAGCGGGAAACGGCCATTGCGGACGAATGTATGGGACATCAACTCTCGTCCGCCTGTCTATCAGGATCGGGGATGGAACAGGTGAACGTGCTCAATCCCGAACGGTGTCTTTAAGGACACTTTCGATAAGGATAGC